GGGGGGCAGTGGTCCTGGTGGGGGCTGGAGGCCCCTGGGGCTGTGGGAGAGTGATTGGAGATCCTGGAGGATGTGCACCCCCCTCACCTGCTGACCCTGCAGGCCGGATGTACCTGTTCTACGGGAACAAGACGTCGGTCCAGTTCCAGAGCTTCACACCCACTGTCACCTACCCCGGGGAGCTGCAGAGTCATATCCTGAGCTGGGGGCAGGGGGGGCTCTGGGGACAAGGCCATGGGGAGGTGTGTGGGTGTGGCCTGCAGGGATGGGGTCTGGGTGACAAATAGGGGTGTGGCCTGTGGGGCAGTGCCCTGGGAATGAGTAGGGGTGGGAGTTGTAGGGGCAGGGCCATGGAGAGATTGGGGTGTGGCCTGCAGGAGGGCAAGCCTTTCAGAAGTGAGGAGGGGGAGTAGGGTCAGACTATCCTTACTGAGAGGAGGGGTCATCTGTCCCATGGGGTGGTCCATGCCCTGTGCCCCCTCCCAAAGGAGCAGGCTCTCCTGCCCAGTAGGTGCCCTAAGCCTGGCCAGTCCTTAGCGCCTTCCACAGCTCAACATCCAGACCAAGGCCGTGGACCCGCTGGTGGAGGGTGGTGCCCAGGTCCAGCAGGTGCTCAACATCGAGTGCCTCAGTGACTTCACCCTGGCGCCCCTCATCAACATCAAGTTCAGGTACTGGAGGTGGGGCCTTCTCAGGAATGGCAGGAGCCAGGGGCAGGGCTTGCCTGAGGTAGGGATGCTGCTATGGCCTAATTAAGGAAGTGGGGAGGGGCCTTCTGTAGATGTGGGGAGCAAGGGGCAGGGGTCATAAGGGGATGGAGCTTCTGGGGAAGAGGGTGGAATCTGGGCCCAAGAGGGAGGGGGAGCAGCAGCTGCTTGGCCTGGGGTGTCCTGTGGGAGTGAGGGTCTGTAGTGGTGGGGAGGTCTCCTCTGATAGTTTCCTTCCCCCCAGGTATGGGGGGACCCTGCAGAACATCACCCTGAAGCTGCCCATCACCCTGAACAAGTTCTTCCAGGCCACGGAGATGCAGTCCCAGGACTTCTTCCAGCGCTGGAAGCAGCTCAGCCTGTACGCTGGGGGAGGTGGGAGTGCTGGGGTAGGGGGCTGGGATGGAAGCAGGGCCTGTAGATAGGGGCTAGGGAGCCTGTAGATAGGGGCCAGGGCTGGCAGGGAGGGGTGACAGAGGGGACCCTGTAGGTGAGTCCTGGAAAGGAGGGGGTCTTAAGTCGTTGTCCCTGTTGGGAGTGGCCCCAGGTCCCCTTTCCCAGGGGTCCTTTAAGCAGGGCAGACCCACCCTACCCTTATTAATGATGTGGGGGGCAAGGACCTTCTCACCACTTCCCACCCCCATCTCCGCAGACCCCAGCAGGAAGCCCAGAAGATCTTCAAGGCAAATCACCCCATGGACCCAGAGGTCACCAAAGCCAAGGTGAGAGGTTGGGGCTGGTGGGCCCGTGTTCTCTCCCTGCTCTGAGAGGGGAGTGGAGTCAGGTAGAGGTGAAGAGCGGGGAGGACTGGGGTAGCAGGACACCTGGGTTCTCTCCCAGTATGTGTGACCTAGGAGTCCCACCAAGACATGCCGTTAGCTCTTTGAGGGTCCAGGTTGGGGTGGGAGTAGGAGGTGGTGCCTGGGGCAGTCCTTCATTGCTACTTGGTCCTTGCCTCACAGCTGCTGGGCTTTGGCAGTGCTCTGCTGGACAAGGTAGACCCCAACCCTGACAACTTCGTAGGCGCTGGCATCATCCAGACCAAGTCCCTCCAGGTTGGCTGTCTCCTGCGGCTGGAACCAAATGCCCAGGCCCAGGTGAGCAGGGGCAGGGCTGGACACCTGGGTTCTATCCCAGCTCTGGGAGGGCCACTGGGAGCTGGGACACCTGGGTTCTCTCCTGGGTCTAAGTGGAGCATGACACTTGCTGGACTACAGCGGAGTGTCCAAGAGCCTAGGAGTTCTGGCTCTATGTCACTGCCAGGAGAGGAGTGGGCCTGGGATCCAGGACTCCTAGGTTCTATCCCAGCCCTGGGAGGGGAAGCAAAGTGTGGGGGCTGGGAGCCAGATCACCTGGGTCCCACTGTGCTTTGGGAGGCAGGACCCCCCTGACACCCTCCTTGCTCCCCAGATGTACCGCCTGACTCTGCGCACCAGCAAGGAGGCCGTGTCGAGGCACTTGTGTGAGCTGCTGTCAGAACAATTCTGAGTAGCACCAGCTTGTTGTGGGGAGAGGCAGGGGCAGGAGAGAGCCCCTCTGGGCACAGAGGCACACCCCCCACCCCCCCCCCCCCCCCCAGCCTGTTATGCACTCCCACCCCGTCCTGTTGTCATGGTAACCTTTGTGTTCTCATCAGCTAGCCCAGGCCAGCACTGCGGGGGGGGGGGGGGGGGGGGGCGGGGGGGGAGTGGGGCTGGGAGGGGATCAGACCATATAGATTGGATCTTGGCAACCCCTCTTCCTCAACCAGGGACCCCCTGGGCAGTAGCCCTGGCTCCCCATAAGCAGGCTTTTGGGGGCTTGACCCCTGAAATCTGGATTGTGTGTCCCATCCCCCCAGGGGGAGCTTTGCTCCTAGTCCCCCTTCTCTGGAGGGGGGGCCTGGCCCTCCCACCCCCAAATGTTTACAGTCCCACCACAGCCACAGGACCCCAACACTACCCCAACAGGGATGGGGAGCCCTGGCCCAGTCCCAGGCCTTGGGCTGGGGAACTGTGGGGTCTCTGGGTGGGTCAAAGCCCCCACTCCAAACTAAAGGGAATGTGTTGCAATGGAAGTAGGGGGTGCATGAATTTGCCCTGATCTGCTCACCCCCTCACCTCCCTGGGGACCCCAGGCCTGTGGGATGATGCTAATAGCCCCCCCCCAACCCCCACCTAGCAGCTGGGAGAGCTGCTGCTGCCCCAGGGAGGGGGAGGAAGTGGGGGTCCCCACAGGTGCTGGCCGGGCTCCATGGTATTTGCCATTCTAGGTGTTTTAGCGTCACGTAGTTCCTGCGGATCAGAGCGCGTGTATCTATCTCCATGTGACTAATAAATGGGGCATCTGCCAGGGCCCCTAATACCACCTGCCCCCCTCCCCCCTTGTGCCCCCCTGAGCTTCGTTCTGTGCTGTGGGACCCGGCAAGGGAGGGCTAGGGGCATCAGGTCACAGGTACAGTCGCCACCATGGCACTGGGATGCACCTGCTTCTAGGGTGGAGCATGTCACAGCAGGGTGTGGAGCAAACTCTGGATCCTGCAGGGTGGGGAGCACTATGCCCCTCTCTCTGCTGCACGGGTGGTGGGGTGGAAATGACACAGGAAACACAGATCAGGGTATTCCCTGAGGTTTAATTACAGGCAGGTGTGTGTCAGCCCTGGTCCAGGGCCCTGAAAAACCCAGGTGTCTAGGCTGCCAGCCTCAATCCCCTCTCTTGCCAGGCTGTGGGGACCGAGGCAACTAAGCAGCCAGTGTTCATTCCCCCTGCCTTAGAGGAGACTCAGGACCCCAGCAGTCAGTATCAGTGCTCTCTTGACATGTAGGGATCTGGTCACGTGGAGTCTGTTTCTTATTGCCAAGCTGTAGGACCCAGGCATTTGGGCGGGTGGCATCAGTCCCTTGGCCAAGCCATGGGACCCAGGTGTCCAGGCAGGTGGTATCAAAAGGCAGCATCCCCCACCAGGTACTGCAGAATATGGGTAGCCAGTGGGCGCAGGGCAAAGGTGGGAACCTCGGGTGCCAGTAGCAGGAAAAGCTGATGCGGGGGTGCCTGGGCAGCATAGGCCTTGTACCCAGCACTGACCACATAGCAGTGCTGGGCACTATGTGAACCCCCACCTAGGGGCAGCTCCAGTGGGGGCACTGCAGGAACAGAGGGAAGGGGGGTGCTTAGGAGGTACCTGCCCAGTAGTGCCCAGCAGAACTAGAATCGGCGCTAGGGTCCCTGGTTGGAGAGGCTTGGGGGCCAGCTCCTGCACTCACCTGGGCTCCCGTCACAGGGAAAGTAATGTGAGACTACCAGGGCATAGAAGGCCCTCAAGACAGAAGCACAACTCCCCAGGGGCAGTGCAGGGCCTGTGAGGAAAAGGCAGGGAGGAGGAGGTGGGTGGGTGGGGGCAGAGTGGTAGGCACTGCCCTGGCACTGCTGCAGCACATTTTGGGGGCATCAGGAAGTCAGGGTGTGTGGGGGCAGGACCTACCCTCTGCCTGAACCCCTCTGGGCAGCACTGCACTCAGACTCCGCTTCTGCTCGTGGTTGATCAGCAGG